AAAGGAAATGGAGGCATCACACTCCAGACTTCAAAACTATACTACAAAGCCATAATCATCAAAACTGCATGGTATTGGAACAAGAACAAGAATACAGACCAATGGAATCGAATAGAAAATCCAGAAATAAACCCACAGATTATGTCAACTAATCTTTGACAAAGGAGCAAAAGACTATGCATTGGAGCAAGAAAGTTTGTTCATAAATGGTGCTGGAAAACTGGGTCGCTACATGCAAAAGAATGAAGCTTGACCACTACCTCACACCATACACAAAAATCAACTCAAAATGGATTAAAGAACTAGACATAAGACCTGAAACCATAAAATACATAGAAGGAAATATAGGCGAAACACTACGGATTTGCACATCAAGACATCTTTACAGACACATCACCCAAAGCAGTGATAGTGAAGAGAAAGATAAACAGCGGACTACATCAAATTAAAGAGCTTCTGCACAGCAAAAGAGACAAACAAAAACAAAGAGAAACCCCACCAACTGGGAGAACATTTTTGAACCCAACACTAATGATAAAGGACTGATCACAAAAATCTGCAAAGAGCTGATGAGACTCAGCAACAACAAAGAAAATAATCCAGTCAAAAAATGGGCAGAAGAGCTAAAAAGAAACTTCTCTGAAGAGGAAATGCAAATGGCCAACAGACATATGAAAAAATGTTCAACATCACTTGTCATCAGGGAAATGCAAATCAAAACTACCATGAGATACCATCTCACACCAGTGAGAATGGCACATATTAAAAAAACTAGCAACAACAAATGTTGGCGAGGATGTGGAGAAAAGGAACTCTTGTGCACTGTTGGTGGGAGTGCAAACTGGTCCAACCACTATGGAGAGCTGTGTGGAGATTTCTGGACCTACTAAACATAGAGCTTCCATATGATCCAGCAATTCCACTCCTAGGTATTTACCCAAAAGGACACAGAAACATCAATTCCAAAGAGCACCTGCACTCCTATTTTATAGCAGCAGTTTACAATAGCTAAGCTTTGGAAACAACCCAAATGCCCAAAAATAGATGACTGGATCAAGAAGATGTGGTACATATATACCATGGAATATTACTCAGCATTCAAAAAGAATAAACACATGCAATTTGCAGCAACATGGATGGCGCTGGAAGGGATCATGCTCAGCGAAATAAGCCAAAAAGAAAAGAAAAATACCGGATGGTCTCACTCATAGCAGGAATCTAGAAAACTTAAATAAGGGACCAGGAAAATGAATATAAGAAAGTGAAAATCAAAATCAACAAAAAAACTATGAACCAGAGACACTTTTGGGGGGTGGGGGGGCGGGAGGGAAGGATTGGGGTCAGAATGGGGCGTTTGCAATTGTATGGGGGAATATAAAAATAAAATTTAATATTTAAAAAAAAAAAAAAAAAGAAGATGTGGTACATATACACCATGGAATATTACTCAGCATTCAAAAAAGATAAACACATGCCATTTGCAGCAACATGGATGGCGCTGGAAGGGATCATGCTCAGCGAAATAAGCCAGAAAGAAAAAGAAAAATACCGGATGGTCTCACTCATAGCAGGAATCTAGAAAACTTAAATAAGGGACCAGGAAAATGAATAACTATAAGAAAGTGAAAATCAAAATCAACAAACAACTATGAACCAGAGACACTCTATGGGGGTGGGGGCGGGAGGGAGTGATTGGGGTTAAAATAAGGGGGTTGCAATTGTATGGGGAATATAAAAATAAAATTTATTTTAAAAAAAGAAAAAAAAAAAAGAATAAGTGGCACAGAAAAGAGAAAAAAAAAAAATTTTGTATGCAAATTGAAATTCAAATAGACTATAGACTTCTGCAAGATGCATTGTAAGTTTACACAAATCACTTCCATCGCTTTGGGATTCATTCGTTAATCATTTGATGACCAAATGTCTCCAGCAATAAACAGAGCTCACATTAACAATGCAGCCAAATTTTACTGACCCTAATCCTACTGACTATATCACTTCCCCACAAACCAACCCCTCTATGAGTTAGGGATTGATACCATCTTTTTATAGTTTGCCCTGCTCATCCTCCATGACTTCCTCTGTCCAGGCCGCCCGTTTGTGCTGGCCGTTGCTGGGTCTGCTGGGGCAGTGATAGTGTAGCAAGCATAACATTTGCCAGGACTTACAAAACTCTTAAGTTTATCTTTTTAAAGATTTATTTACTTATGCAAACAAGAACTGGGGTGCAGGCCAGAGGTGTGGGGGGTGAGAGGATTCAGCAAAGACAGAGTGGGGAGCAGAACAGGCATATCTAATGAAATACACTGCTGAGGGGAGCAGCGGGAGAGACAGGAGAGGTCTGCTGTGCCATGAGGGTCAGCTCTCTGGCCGGAAATGGACTTATCATGCTGCAGTGGCTGTGGATAGCTTCACAGTGCTGAGACTGATCCCCTTGTGCCATCAGGTAGGGCCAAAACTGCTACTTTTAAATGTGAAAGTCACTCAGGTCCTTGGAATCAACACCCACCTGTTTCTGGCCATGCGTGGTCATAGAGAGGCACAGGGAGCAGCAGGATAACTTCTCAGTGACTCCTGTCCCTTAACCTATGCAGGACCTCTTTGGAGGAACTTCCCTCCATGCCACTGTGGCCTGGACATTTCTGGCGCAATGCTTCTTCTCTCCTGTCTTATTCTACACACCCACTTCTCAATACCCCACTTTCTGTTCCATAAATGTGTTCTGATGACCAACAAATTGCATTGGAAGCCACACTAAAGCTCCCCTACTACTAACCTCTATTACATATACACTGACTTTTTTTAAATACCAACTATTCTTTCATGAATTACAGATATGTTGCTATAATGAACCAAATGAATGATTTTTCACTCTTGAAATTCAAACTTTAGTCGGCAGAGGGATTTTCTGGGAGTCTGTTCAAAATGTGGTATCACCTGCTTCACACTCAGTTATTCCATTCAAAGATCTGTTGCCCTTGAGTGAAATATTTGCCCTGTTGACAAGTGCCTGGATAATTTTAATTTAGGTGACTCAAGACTCCTTCTTCTAAATACAATGATAGATGCAATACTAACATTGTTGACTGTTCAGTGCATTATATAAAATTGTATTAATCATTTCTGTAATGGATGTTATTTTCTTTTTTTAGTAATGATGCCTTTGCTACCTTGTTATTTGGTGTGAACACAACAAGGATGCCTACATATTCCTGGAAGATTTTTATCATTATGTAATGTTTCTCCTTATCTACCATTTTCCTTGCTCTGCAGTCTATTTTTTAGCTGGCATACTTAAATTATATATGTTTAAGGCAATTTTTTATATGTAAAGACTAAAATCTATGCTTTATCATTTGTTCTCTGCTTGCGTTCTTTGTTTCTAATTTCTCTGTTTCTCTTTTCTTGTCTGCCTATGGGTTTCTTGAATGTACTTTAGGAATCTATCTTATCAGTGTATAGTATTTCATTATGCCACCTTTGCCGATTGCTTTTTTTTATAAATCTTTTTTTTTTAATTATTTATTTATTCAAGCACTGGGTACAGTAGTAACATGTCATCTAACTGAAGGTGGGAACTTTTCTATTCACAGAGGTCATTTCAGGTTCCCAAATGCTTTGGAAGGATAATGAAGACAAACTTTCAACACTCTGTGGAGAAGAAAAATTAAATAAGACAAAATATCAACTTTTGTCTCAAAATTCTATTGGAATAAAAAGACTGAATAAGTTGTTTTGGGAAAATACTATTACTATCACAAATGTTAAGTAATGATAAATAGGATCCTCCATAAAATTTTAATTAAATTGTCCTCTGAGATTATGTTCATTGCTATATTAGCTAATTGGAATGGATCCTAAAAGGTTATTAAAAATTTAATCCTGATTGTCTTCAATATATAGTTGATTCAATTACATTGAGTTATATAGTTACCTAAGCTATATCTTAGGTGTGTTTTTAAAAAATGTGATAATTTTATAAACATCATAAGCCACATCAGCCACTAAAACCATCACTTTGTTTTTTGTTAAAATACTGAAATAATTGTACTAGACCATCATACCAGAAGCCATGAGGTGTAGTCTACTGTTTCTCCCATTAACTGATTCTTCATTTCCTTGTGTCAGTTAATTTGCTTTGTTTTGATCAATTCAGCTTTTCACCTACTCTTTTATGTTAACCGAAGATAATATAATACTTGGGAAAACTTAGATTGCTAGGGCAAAATAACCCAGCAAGCTTTATTATCTACTGATTTTTTTTGTGTTGTTAAAAAACGTAAAATTAGAAATCGAAATTTAGTTTGCTCTTTCTTTAGCATGTTCGAGATTTATATTTAAAGAATCAGAATGCTTTTCTACATGAAACCTCCATGAAAGTTCTATTACACTGATAAATAGGGTTTTCCACTTCAAGAAAGTTCCTTTTTCCAGTCTGTGTTTTATGTGGCTGTTTGTTACTGAGACAAACAGAATGGCTAAATCAATACAAATGGCCCTTGAGGTCTAGAGAGACCACGAGAAAGTGTAGCATCATTAAACTAAATTATAGACAAGCACTTAAGGAGACAAAAACGTATTTTGTTACCATAAGTCCTCATTTTTTTATGGTGAGGATGATTGAAAATGTTTACGAAACATGCATGGTAACAAGAACAAGACTCCGGTGGCAATGGCCTAGCGCTCAGGTGGCGTTTAGTTACTGTGCTGTTTTAATCAGAAAGGAAAGTAACCTACAGAGGCAGAAGCTGATAGTGTTTGCTAAGACCCAATCTCTGTTTGGTATGGGGACAATGTAACAGAAGACAGCTGGGGAGATATAATAATGAGTGAGGTAGAGGGAAAAGAATGATGGAGGCTAGCAGGAGAACACAGGGGTGACCCCAGAACTCCACAGACATGAGCTGTGGGGTGAGCGAGATGAAGAGAGACACCTGAGGGGATGAACATGAAATAACTCTAAACACAATTCCATAGGTGTTTCCCTTCCTGTTCTCTAGGAAGATGGTCCCTGATGCCCAGGATTATTTCATCAACTCCCTTGCAGCAGATGAAAACAAAGGAAAGAATTAAGTCCAATAATCCACAAACTGAATATGAGCCCAGGAGCTAGACTTCAGGAAATAAAGCAAAGTGGAAATCTCAAGTGGAAGATGTTTCCCAGGTATTTTATACACAGAAGAACTTGGGGGCGGGGGCAAATGAATGTGGTTGAGTGTCACATAAAACACGCATCTATTATGGTGGACTTGTGCAGTGGCCACTACAGTGGATTGCAACTGTCCCTGGAAGCAAAACAAAATAAATTAGTGTAATTATTCTTCTTGTATGAGGTATTTAACTTTAATATTATATTTAATTTAATATTTAATTTAATAATTTAATTTAAATATTTAACTTTAATATTATAAAATAATGGTTATAAAGTAACTGTCCAGGTCCTTACTCAGGATATTTTTGTTGTTGTTGGCGTTGTATATAAAATTTGAAGCTTAAATGTTTCATCCAAAATGTTTTAATAAAAATTATTTTCAAGACAGATACTCAGATTGGGATTTTAACAAGAACCGTCTCTGGGAAATTCAAATTCTTTATAGCCTTTCTGAATGATAGCTTGTAGCAAAAGGTTATGCTTATTTGCTCATACTGGCTACTAGAGCCATAAATTTGAAGGAATCATTTTATATATATCCTTGTCACTGACAGTTGTTATTTTGACAGATTAAATGGGAATGGAATAGACAATTTTTGCCTCACTAAATCAAAAGCATTTTTTATTGGTTATAAACGACATTAAAGCTACACTTCTGCAAAGCACATAAGAGTGGTTTATGACTTTTTGAGAAAAAAATATTATATTCAGTGAACTTACTGAAAAATTGTCTTCCACACAGCAATTCTATTATATGTGAAAAAAGATAAAAGTTAAGGAAGTAAAATATAGATAAATTATATTTATTTGTCCATTGACAGCTATGGTAGAGATGGCTATTGTTCACACATTGGCACGTCTCCTTGCTCTTTTCTGGAGGGACTATTCTTTGTTATCTTCACAAGATTCATCACTGTGCAACTGGTTTGGGTCAAGCAGTTGGTACTACAGGTGGCACGGCCACTGCCAGGCTAAGGCATTGACTAACTAGTATGGGCTGTCCAGCACCCTTTCCCTCTTCTGCAACGGTCATGGAAGAAGACACATATTGGGCCTCCCTGGTGGCACAGGTGTTAAAGACCCAGCCCCATCAAGCTGCCTATCACCAGCCACTGCAGCCTGAGTTCAATCCCCGGCCAGGGAGCTAACCCACATGGCACAGCAGACCTCTCCTGACTCACCTACTACTCCCCTCAGCAGTGTATTTCAGTAGATCTGCCTGTTCTGCTCACCACTGTCTCTGGTGAATCCTCTCACCCCCCCCCCACACCTCTGGCCTACACCCCAGTTCTTGAATGCATAATAAAATAAATCTTAAAAAAAAGAAGAATGGTAGAACTAGGAAAAGAATGGCGGATGGGCAAATCACTGTGGGGTGGACCTATAGTCTGAGATAGTTAACCTGGAAATCTGGGTGACTGAGCCTGAGCAAGGAGCAAACCTTTGTAATTTTAAGACACTACAGGTGCTTTTTTGTTGTTGTTACTTCAGTACAATCTAGAAGGTTTGAACACATGCAACTTTACACAACACTTTTTGCTCCATGATATTCCCATGGAGAGTCTGTTGTAAAAGTATTTGTGGTTTGATATTGTATTAAATCGAATCTACCAAATCTTATCAGAAGCTGAGGCAAAGCTGAATAGTATAAGGGAACAACAGGGCAAAATTGGACAAATACCAAATTTTCATCTTGATGCAACAATTTGGAATATAAAAGGAGGGTACCAAAAAGTCACATTTCAAATAGTCTGTCGGTCACCATCTTTCTCTTAGACAACAATCTCCTACCATAAATAGAACATGGCAAGCAGTGTACCTTACTATGTCCATATTCTACGCAGTTATCGTCTCTGATTTACAGGATATTATACTTGGCACAGGGTTACGCTGAGAAATGTTGAGGGTAACATTTGGGTGTCTTATTTCTGGAGGGCTAGAAGTGACAAATAACAAAGAGAAATCTCTTCTCCCATGTGAACAACTGTTGGGGACTTTAGTGGAATTCAATTTCTTATGTTAATGTTACTATTACTTTTTAGTGCATTTAAAATAATTTTTGAAAAATAAGTGTTTGTTTCCTGAGAATGAACTATTTTTCAGAAGAGTGATTTTGTAATTTTTCCTCATAATGAGCATTTCCCTTTATGAGGACTATCTGGAACTTTGGGACATTACAGAAAACCTTAAGAGATGAATGTAAAACACCAAACTTCCTTACTATTTTGTTTTATTCAGTTTGAAGAAGAAAACAAATGTGGTTGGCTCTCTTAATATCCTGCTAAAACGTATTAATTGGAAAGTTCTGAGCTGATGATATGGAACCATTCTTCCTTAAGTCTTTGAGAAAGAACTACATAGGACAGTGTTTATTTCAATTATTCTTAATTTCAACAACAACCAAGAAAAGATTAAAAACCTAAATGAATGTGGATAAAAGCACAAGGGGATATTATTGGAAATTAGTCTCATTCTCCACACTGTAAGGGTGTTAGGAAATAAACCCTGATTCCTAAAAGAAGTAGCAGAGGTTAGCCATCCCATGTTCTGGCTTGCTTGGCTGTAATTTTTCCAGGAAACTGAAAAATGAAGTAGGTTCTCTTGTGAAGTCCTTTTATGATCACAAGACTGTGCTTGGAAAATAAATCACAACAAGTCAGGATCTTGAATGGTCAAGGTAAAGTTCACCACTTAGTTGGGCTGGGTCACAAGTTGAGAATGTTATTTAATACGGAGGCAGATTGTCAACTTGCCAGACCTATCCCTCTGCTTTGATGTCATGCTTCTTGCTTTGTAGTTGCTGGCACTTATGCTTATTTACACATATATTTTGCCTTTTTTCCTAGAAAAATTATAAAATTCTTAGAATTGCAACTTCTGCATCCTGTTTGAGCAAGACATTAATTCAAGCCAATCTGAAAGCTTCCACCATTGCTTGGTTTCAATTTCAGCTCCATTATTGTATAAAATTTCATATTTACAACATTCTCACTCTATGTTAAGAATAACAACTCAGTCACTAAGGTTTGTGGGACCTTCAAAATTCCAAGTATGACAAACAGTCATGAAAATGACATGCAATGAAGCCAAACATGTTAAAATTTATTTTCTGCAGTAGTAACATGTCATCTAACTGAAGGTGGGAACTTTTCTACTTACAGAGGTCATTTCAGGTTCCCAAATGCTTTGGAAGGATAATGAAGACAAACTTTCAACACTCTGTGGAGAAGAAAAATTAAATAAGACAAAATATCAACTTTTGTCTCAAAATTCTATTGGAATAAAAAGACTGAATAAGTTGTTTTGGGAAAATACTATTACTATCACAAATGTTAAGTAATGATAAATAGGATCCTCCATAAAATTTTAATTAAATTGTCCTCTGAGATTATGTTCATTGCTATATTAGCTAATTGGAATGGATCCTAAAAGGTTATTAAAAATTTAATCCTGATTGTCTTCAATATATAGTTGATTCAATTACATTGGGATACTTGCTATATCATCCAAGAATGATCAAAATGGTCTCTTTTTCATAATTAAAGTAAATATTTTGGTGTTAAAAATGCACATCATTAGATACTTTTAGATTCTTTTTCTTCTCGACCTCGGTGAGGGGAGGCAGTTGTGAAAGGAGAATTGGATGGAGAATAAAAACCTTGTAATCTCATTACCATTTTGTCATGAAGAAGTGTTACATTGGGCTAATTATCCTGCTTGCATGGGTCTCAAATTTCCATAAATAGAAAATTAAATATTGGGCTGTATTCATCCAGTCATTAAAAACAAAAACAAAAACAAAACAAAAAAATATTGAGAATCATCTACAATCTTCTGTAAAATAATTGGGAAATGTATAAATAGATTCAGATTTTATAATCCAATTTCATAAAAAAGCATTTACCTATCTGTTGTAAATAATTACAATATAACATTAGGGTAGTTTAATAATGACTTTTTTTTAAGATTTATTTTTTATTCATTTATGCATATAAGAACTGGGATGTAGGCAAGAAGTGCGGGGGTGAGAGGATTCACCAGAGACAGAGCCGGGAACAGAACAGGCAGATCTACTGAAATACGCTGCTAAGGGGAGCAGCGGGGGAGACAGGAAAGGTCTGCTGTGCCATATGGGTTGCTCCCTGGCCAGGGATTGAACTCATGCTTCAGTGGCTGGCAATAGCTTCATAGTGCTGAGACATTAATCCCTGCACCACCAGGGAGGTCCTAATAATGATAATTAATGTTGTGTGTCAACAAAGATAGATTTTCTAAGAGTTCAAAATCAAAGTCCTTTGGTCAATAAAATAGCAGAACTTCTAAAAGATTACTTTTTATCTTTATTTATTTTATATTATGGTTATTGGTTTACAACACAGGTTATGTTTTAGAAGTATAGATTTGTATCTCTCAAATGTATGTTACCATATTACACACACCAGCCAGGTACCAAGAAACCTCCACCACAACCCATTAGACCCCTTCCAGTAACCTGAGTTCTGCATGCAGTCAGAAGCCAAGGATTTGCTTTGGGTTTGGTTTTGATTGTTCCTAAAAGAATATAAAACTTCAGTCCATCCATGAAGATTTTTTAAAATGCAACTTTTTTTAGAAAAATTAATGTCTTTAGTAGATAAAAATGCAAAATTGAAAAAAAGCTATATAAAATTGATTTGGTAAATTAATGCCCTATAAATAGAAGGAACACTCTATTTTTATAGTGGATTCCAGATATTTACTGAGAAGATTTGAAGCCAAGAAGAAACTTATTTTCTTAAAAAAAGATTCATCTGAAATATTAGATGTTATTTTCTTTGTTGTAAATTTTTGGTATAGAGAAAGTAATATTTTTCCCTAGACGGTAAAAGGAGAAAGAATAGTTTTCTGTGTTCCTAAAATATTTAGAGTTAAAGCATTGTTTAAAATGTGTACATTTGACCTTATCAGGACAATTTTTGTTTTCCTTTTGTTTTCATCATCTCTGCCCTCCCGCCTCTCTATTTTGTTTCCTTTGCCCCCTTGTTTCTTTTTCACATCTTCTCCCCCAAATTCTACCTTTTCATGTTCTCTTAGTTACAATATACTCATATTTCTGGCCTGAGACCCCTCAAAAGCCATCTTGCTGAGAGAGTATGACTCCTTTTGCTCCTCCTTAGAAAAGTCCTGAAGAATCTTGTTAAGATGCTCATGGTTTGCACTAACCACTCTTGACAGTGCAGTTGTTTGTCCACTTCCTCTTACTTTAACATTGTGACTGCTGCTGATCCTGTTTCTAAGCCACCATCAGGCTTTGATAACTTATACTGGAAGAGACTAATCCATCAATCTTACTTCTCATGCCAAAAGAGTCTTGTCCTAAATCCTCAGAAGCTACTGGGGCCTGTTAATGTCTCCAAATTTGACTTTTGTATCATTTGGTTATTTTCCAACAACTAACAAATGTGGATACTGGCTGAGAAATATACTTATCTTTTATAGGCCCTTATCTTAGTAACAACTTATATATTTCTCTCCAGCTTTGAAAACTACTTCCAATAAATTCTTTAGACAATTTCTGTTGTCAATACTTTTTCTGTTGACCATAAGGGACCAACCTTTTCAAGTTAAACCATAGGAAAGAAAAATGTTGCCTCAAGTAACATGTAGTACATCGGATAATTATTTTCAGGTTCAGTTTGATCTAGAACATCAATGATATGATCATGTCACTCATTTTCACCCTACTAATTTCTCACTCGTACATACTATATGTGTTGTACCAATTATTTGCTTATTAACTAGATTTCACATTATAATAATTCTAAGACTATACTCTATAAACTTAAAATTAATAAGTTATTCTTTTCCAAATCCAACAGAAATTTGGAGACAGAAAACTTATGTTTATTTCTTAAAATATCCAGGAAGATATAGTACTCTATGGATTCCAGTATAAATAATACCAATAACCCTTTCATGGAAGGAGTAGAAGGAATGTGAGACTGTGTTATCGTGCCTCATTTGAAATCCCTACCAAAAATATTTGAAATGGAAGAAGTATCCTCAATGGGAAATGGGAAAGAATTCTGAAAATGCAAAGTTATTCAGAAAATCTATATCGATGTTTCCAAATTGATACAATTCTGGAGAGCAGTGTTATAAACCACTGGACAACTGAGCTATGGTAGACATCAAAAGATTCCAGAAGATCAGCTAAATTCCAATAAATAGAAAAGGGAGGGACAGAATGTATAACTAGTTTAAATAACCCATTTTGGGTGTGTCTACTTTTTAGTGGCTCTATTAAATTAGACTATTGTAAATTTAAAAATAAATTTACTATTAGGTATTTTTAATCACCATGTTTTTATGTCATAATTGGTTAAGAATCTATTTCACATGTATTAGTGGCTCAAAAATTGTGGGGAAGCAAATATTGTCTAAAAAATGTAAAAAAAAATTGATAAATGTTAAAATAAAAAAAATTAAAAAATTAAAATGAAAAAAAATTGTGATTTTTTTTTTTCTTGCCAACATTCACTCCTATTAAGTTGTTAACAATACAGGCCCAAAGTTGTCCCAGTTCTTTAGGAATGAAACTTCAAGGTCTTATAATAGCCTACAACCCTTACAAAATCTTGCCCTAGTGCTTCTGTGACCTCATGGCCTCTCACCCTAGTCCAACTTGCTCCATTGCAGCCACACTGAACCTCCCTTCTATTTCCGTAAGATGCCAATCACACTCCTGCTTCAGGGCATTTAAATTTTATTGTTCTATATTTCTGAAACACTCTCCACCCACATGATTTAATGTCCTCATATATTAAACATCTTTGTTCAAATATATTCTTTCAAGGATTTTTGTATTAATCATTCTATCTAAAAAGAGGCAAAACTATCTCTATCCCATTAAACTCTCTGTTTATTTATCATAGCATTTTTTACCACATGACACATTATATTTCTGTTTGTTTTTCTTCACCTACTGACATGTGAGTTATTTGACAGGAAAGAGTGATTTGTTCATCGCTATATTTCAGCACCCAGGACAGTACCTGACACACCGGTGGCACATAATAAATATTTGTTCAATAAATTCCTAACGAGAGAAAGAATGAATAAATGGCTCCACCAACCAGATACTATTGCACATTTATAACTCAGGCCTATCTAATTCGAACATACCCTGGCCAGAATGATGCTTCAAGATTGTCCATGAGACTTGTAGCAAATGAATATTATGTATTCACAGTAAATCTACGACATTGCAGAACAAACAACACAAATCATAACCATGCCACCCAGGAAGAGATCGGCCTAAACAATAATTGAACAAAAATATGATAAGGAGTAGGATAACCTTAGTAATATTCCTCTTTTTTAACTTATGCCTGCTGGGCCTGGTTTTCTTTTTCCAAAAATTGAAACAGATCTGAATTCCTTGATATTTCTTTCCAAAAGATATGTAGTACTTGTACTACAGTTAGTAACTGATGTCAAGTTTTGATAATATATTTTTATAATGTTTGCTAATTTGGAAAATTAAACCGTATTATTGTTTTTAAAATAAACAAATTCCAGTCACTTGAAATGATTTATTTATTCATATTACTTAGTGATATCTAATTGAGTCATTAGTGATGACTTGAAAATCTGAGGTGACACATCACAACATAACTGAGTAAGACATGAGTAATCAGATCCTCACTTAACAACAATTCAGCATCCGTCCATTGACAAGATTGCTTTTGTGGGAGTAGTGGGACCCTTCATCATATACCAAGAAACCTAGAAGAGTTTCAGGTTATAGGCATACAGACCTTGATCCTAATGCTGGACACTACAGTGGCCTGTACTATTTTTCACAGTCTGAGGGGACTTAGATAATCCTGTGTTACCAAATCACCCATAGATGAGAGAGCCTTTGTAAAAGTTCAGATTTTCAGCAAAGTTTCCAGGACAAAGTTGGGGGTGGGAGAAGAGTCTAGACTCGCTGGAGACAATAAAAGGAACAGTGTTTAATTTTTCCCATATTATCCTCCCTTCAAAACTTCACAGCTCAGTGCTAAGAGACCATCTCAGCCCATATTTTTCCCTGAGAGGAAAAGTGAGAGTGTGTGAATGAGTGCATGGGACACTACCAAAAAGGTCCATTCCTCTCACCCCATCCAGAATATGGAATCAAAAGCTGCATGACCAGGAAGTAAGAAAAGGACAAGAGAATGGTATATGGGACTTTTGGAGGACACAGAAGAGATAAGTATAATACTAATTTTTTCATGAATTCTATGAAGAACCTCACCCTTAAGCCACTGGGGATGTTGCACACATAGAACCCCCAAATGACTCATGGAAACTCCCAGTGTTCCATGCACCTCATTCACATACCCCACCCTGTGGATGACTCCTTGTGTGCATTCCAAATGGGGCTTAGAGTGAATTTTAGCAGATAGCTAGTGAGTATGTGC